CCCCAAAACCCCAAAACCCCGTCATACCTAAAATTTGAAGATAGGAGAGATAAATAAAGCAGTTACATTAAATCAGAATTGTAATTAATTTTTAAGCAATAGTAAAAGAGTTAGCCTGATAAAATGCACTCTTTTATCAAAGTATATTCATTAATGGATGAGACTCTAACTGATCTCTTCCATAAGAGAAGACTTGAGTTTATGGATGACGAGGACGCGTATTTAGCTAGAGGTGATCCTGATATTTAAATATCCGAATACATATTGGATTCCGCAGGATCAGAAACAGGGTTTTTCTGTTTCTTTATGATGGCATCCATATTTTTCTTACTGAATTAAGTAGATGGAAAGATTTTCAGATTGAAGATATTCTTCATGAACAGAGATTTCGCCCTTGTTAAGAACGATGGGTTTATTGTGTTTGTAAATTTCATGCTAAGAACTCTGAGTTGGCTTTCACTCTTAATGCCATTCTTGGCTATGGCAGTTTGGGCTTCAGGCTTGATCATTAGAGCCAAAGATTTCAAAATTGTACCTATCGGCGGAATTAGTGTCTTGCTAGTTGGAATGTCATTCTTCTTCTTTATGTATGGTATATTTACCATAAAATGGAACAACTATCAATTCAAAATTATAAATGGAGTTTGCTTATTTTTAGCATTTGCTCTTTTAACTGGATACTAATTCGTTGTCATTTTTCTTGATACTTCTAGTAACAGTTACTTCGGTTTCAGCACAGTATTTTTAAATGCTAATTGTGTCGTGGTAATACTGTCTATATTTATCAACTCAGGCATCAAGGGTGGATCAGTAAGTGATGTGCTGATGGATAAAATGTAAAAAGGTGATCCTCGTGACCCTGAGAGAGACACTGATTTCCTTGAGGAAGTGAACGAAGAGAGAGCTAGCAAAAACTATTATCCCACTTACGAGGATGTTGTGGATCTCTTTACAATCGCAAATAATGTTGAAGGAGAGGATGATCTCGGTTCAACTTTTGGAGGAGGTTTGTAATCAGCTTTCAGTCATTTGAATGTAAAAGTAAAAAGATCTCTTACTTTCTTGTTGTGGTCTATCGCAACTGCAATTCTTATAGTTTATTCTTTTGTTATCTACTGGTATATGGATAAATCAAGACTTGGATTTGTCACTATGATTGCAGTACTACTTACTGATGTTTTTGTTTATTTGATATGGAACTCTGAAATTGTAACAACTCCGACTATCCTATGCTTTTCAGCATTGCTAAATAGAGTTTTGCTTTATGTTTTTGGAGGAAACTACTGGATCTATGGTTATTTAGTGCTTTATCTCATTTATGGAGTAATTTTATCAGTTGTTATTACCAAAAAGCGATTCCCATTTGAAGATGCTTTCAGCAATATGAACTTAGATAGCATCCACAAGAAGGATGCCTCATCAGATTTATCTAAGCAACCAGAATTCTTACTGATGTTCATCACTACTATATATGTTATTCTATTCGTAGTATTATTTGTGACAGAACCAAGAGGAGTACCACTTCTAAGATTAACAATTGATGATTGGTCATATCCTTTTTACACCAATGCTGTATTTTGTCTTCTTCTTGTTGCAACTTTCTTCTTTTTACTTGGTACATACAGATTATTTATAAGAAAGAAGAAGAGAATAGAACCAAAGATTCACTATTTCATTAAGAATCGCAAATATGATATGTACTGGATCTATATCACTGGCTCGTTTGTTTTATTAGCAGCAGTCGGACTAATTAGTTACTGGCTAACAGATGATGTGACTATTTTCTTGATTATCATCTTTATTTCAGTCTATGTCATATTCTATCTCAATGCTTTCTTGCATTATGTGATGAATGACTATGATATCTTGCAAAACATTGAAGCATTTAACGTAAAAATCAGAAAACATAATGAAAGAATAGGCCAACTGAAAGAAAAAGTTTAAGGAATTAAAAAAGATCTTAAAGAAGGAAAAACTACTGGTATTGGTGCTAATGCTTTAAATTTGGCTTAAAATATCATGAAATAAGATAAAGATAAAAAGAAATAGGTAAGATAAGAAAAAAAGATCTAAAAAGAAAATGAACTAATTTAAACTTACAAAAACAGCAATTTCGCAGGAATGACTGGCGCCCCAACAAGACTTACTTTAACTAAAGGTGCAAGTAATAACTCAAAAGTAGTTTCATAAGTAGGCTCTAAATCTCCATCAAACTTCAATTCTAAGCAAAAAGAAATTAAGGTGGAAATAAAAGTTTAGGCTATCCCAATGTCAAAAGTTTCACCAGTTGGAGGTAATAATGGCACTCTTACACCAGGAGCATAAGATGATGATGATAAACTAATAAATGAAGAATTTGCTAGAAAAAATGATAAGAATGATGATATTGATATGTATGAAGGAGGTGAAGATGAAGTAGGGCAATAAAATGAAAATATGAGACTTGATAATGATATTGAAAAAGAGCTAAAGGATGATGATGATGATAATGATGATAGTACTGATGATGAGTTTGATCCTGAAGCTGATGATGATGAAGCTGACTAAAAGAAGTCAAAGAAAAGACTCAAGGAAATCGGAGATTGGAGAAAGTAAATGGGCTGGTTCTAGGCATTTATTAGTGGAAATCTTAGACACAATGATTATCAAATCATATTCTCAATTTTGGTAGCGCACTGTGCCATCGCAATTATGGCAATTTTAGTTTCAGTAATAAATGAAAGTGTAGCAGGTGTAACAATAGCAGTACCTTTGATTCATTATGCTATGGCTGCTTTTTCTCTTTCTAAGCATTTGAGTACTGATGCTAAGATGAATGCTTTCCATTACTTCTTCTTCTTTCTCTCATATGCTGTTCAATACGCTTGGGGTATTGCAAACTTATTTATTTCTTACACTAGTTATGATATCGATCCTACTACTCCAGGAGAAGCAGGAGCTGGTACCTATATGGTCGTTTACTTAATGGTTATTCCATTCATCACTAGTTCTATGTCTGCAGTTGCCAAATGGGTTGATGACAAGGGAAAGTTTTCATTCTTCTTTTTCATCTAGTTACTTCTAACTGGTCTTCAAGGTATTGGAATGTTAGTTATTGCATATGTATACATGACTTACATCTAAGGTATCATTGTTTCAGTAATTGTAGCAATTATCGGATATATCATTCTTCAAGTCTGGATTTATGTAAAGAATGACTACTATATGCCTAATGCCTGGACTGCAGTAAATCTAACTATCATTTTTGCTATTGTCGTTTCTGCTACTGTAGTATCATTTTTCTTTGATGAATTCAGAACTTTCACTGGAGTTTCAATATCTATTTGGGTAATTGCAGCAATGATGATTGTGTATGCTTTCGCTGAAATCGGATCAGATCTTTCAAAGATGGAAACTAAACCAGTTTTTTTCTCACCTTGGCTATTCCCAATCTATATTTACAATCCTAAAAAGAATGATGTAGAGCCCCATAATTTGCCTACAGTAGCTTTGATTGGAGGACTTGTTTTAATGATGCTTTGGTCAGTTTTATGCTCTGTTTGGGTTTATCCTCACAATGTTGGTGTTTCATTAAGTATTCTTTTTGAACTTTTACTAATGGTAACTGCTTTCCATCTCATTGGAGTTTCAGCTCATTAACTCAAAGAAGTCACTCTTGATATTGATAAAAAGCTTATCAGGAGAGCTTGGCTAGATGCCAAATTGGGCTATATCAACAATAGATCAGCTCTTAACAGAGAAACTCTCGTTACTTATGAGAAGGCAAGGCTAAGAAGAGATTATTTTAGAAACTATATGAGAGAAAAGGAAGGAAGATAAGATTTGAATCTTGAAGAAAAAAATGAAGGCGTTAGATTTATCCCTAAAGATGATATTGACATCGAATGGGTAGACGAAAATAAGGTTAATCTTGGAAACATCTATTCATGCTACTCATATTTATTTGAATTGGAAAAAGAAGCTAACAGAATTTATAAAGAAGAGCTCGAACTTATCATTTAATTCCAACTTTTGATAGTATAATCTGCTGAAAACCTCTAGGAATAAAAGAAGAAATATTTGTTCACATTCTTGAACGAAAAGAAGGCAGAATTATTTGCAGTAGGAATTGTTATAAACATTCCAGATCAAGGAAGCATGAAAATTAGATATGCTCGTGTGATAACATAAATTCAAAAATTAAGTCCAGAGAAGCAAACAATGTTCAATAGTTTAAGAGATAATTACATCATGGAGAAGAGAGAACAAGATGAAAAGAGAAAGGAATAAGCAAGACTAGAGGAACTAAAAGAAAAAGAAAGACAAGAAATGCTGAGCTAAATGTCTGAAGAAAAGAAAAAATTACTCTCATCAGTTACTATGGATATGGATGTTGACAAAATGCCAGATTGTGATATGAAATATGAAAAGATACTTAAAGAAGCTAAAGAAAATGGAAAAGTCTTTGTTGATACTCAATTCAAAGCAGATAATGATGCACTTGGTCCAAACTGTTTAAATAGAGGAATCAGTAAATGGGTTAGAGCAAGAGATAAGCCATAATGTGTTTTATATAAGGATGTAATTAATCATCTTGATGTAGTCTAAGGTGCTCTTGGAGATTGCTATTTCTTGTCAGCTATTAGTGTGCTAGGGGAAAAATATATTAAGAAAATCATAATAACAACAGAGGAAGAATGGAGAGAGACTGGAGCATTCAAGATTTAATTCTACAAGAATGGTGAACCTGAAATCATAATAATTGATGATCTCTTCCCTGCATATGGCAATGGAGATTGGGTCTTTGTGAAAGGAGGAACAGAGGGTGAAGAATTGTGGCCAATGGTTCTTGAAAAAGCATATGCAAAAATGTATGGAACTTTCAATTATATCGAAGCAGGAAAAGTTTAATATGCACTTAGTGATATGACTGACGGTTTTCCAGAACAGGTTGATCTAAAAATTGATGGCAAAAATATTCAAAGTCTTTGGGAAAAGTTAAAGACCTTAAAGAGGCATGGTGCTTTAATGGGGGCTGGTAGTCCAGAGCATTCAATGGGAGATAGAGCTATAAATGAAATGGGTATTGTGCAAGGTCATGCTTATGCTGTCCTTGATGTCTAGGAAATTGATGGTTTCAGGCTAATGCAATTAAGAAATCCACATGGATCCTCGGGTGAGGAATGGAAAGGAGATTGGTCAGACACTTGCGAAAAATGGAATGAGAGAATGAGAAATAAAGCAAAATATAAAGATTCCTAGAGAGATGGTGTTTTCTGGATGGAAGTGCACGATTTCGTTCTTCAATACTCATACTTGTATATTTGCAGAATTCTTGATGTTGATGATGGTTGGAAAGAGGTTAGAGTTGATGGTGAATGGGCAGGAGCTTCTGCTGAGGGTCTTCCTACTAGATCTAATCCTAATGCAAGATTGGATTTCAATCCTTAATATGCAATTACAATTACTAGACCTTGTGATGGTTTTATTATGATGGCACAAAAAGACAAAGTCAATATGTTTAAGGGTAAGCATGCCATATTCTTCATGGTAAGCAAGAACAACGGAAAGAGATTAACTAAAGTTGATAAGAACACTATGATTTGTAGATCAGGAAACCCAGTAAATCTAAACATCATCACAGCTGAGTGCGATTTCGATAAGTCAGTTACCTATCCTTACAAATTCACAATAATGCTTGCAAACGCTGAGCATGGAGCAGAAGGTGAAGGTGAGTTTGAGTTTGGTGTTTATGCTACTGATCCAAACGTCAAAGTAGAAGAAATTAAATTGCCTCTTGATTTCCCCAAATCTGGTAGTCACAAAGAAGAATTAGAATGAACTTTCTAATAAAATATATATTGGCATTATAAGTTTATTAAGAGAAATTCGCAAAGTCTAAATAACATTTGTATTTAAATTATTTATGGGGTTTTGGGGTTTTGGGGTTTTGGGG